AGGGCCCTTTAACCTTTTATCTTTTAAAAAATAAGGGATTTAAAAGATTAAATTTAATACGACTTTGTAGCCCTTGAAATTACCTTTCAAATGGTTTTTGAGTAAACCTGATATCATAAAAATTATCTTAAGAACTCAAAGTTATTGTAAAAAAATCAAGAACATTTTTTTAGAAAAATTTTTGGAGTAGAGATTTTGTGTGTATATATAGGAAAAAAGATAGGTAATAAGAAGCAGACGTGTCGATAGGTATATGCTCACGAAATATACATGTGTGGATGTGCGTATGTATATTTTGAAGATAGAAGAAGCTAGTGAAAGGAATTCTGTATATTTGCTCAAAAACATAGTGAAACTTTCTAGTATGCTGTGTCGATTGAATATTTCAGTACTCAACAGATATAGCTGCAACGTTCAAGGTCACTTCATCGATAAAGGGAGGAGCCAAAACTCAGTTATATACAAGCGGCTGAATCGTAAACATTCATATATTTAGCATTGAACATAAATTCTACTGCGTTTGCTACGTTATCGGATAACTTCGATAACATTGGATTCTGAGTGCACAAGATCGTGAAATTATATGCTCGGTTTTATTATGACTAATAAATTAGCAAATAACATTATTTTATCAATTACCTCAAACATTTTAACTTTGATATTAGTGCTCTATCTAGATCGATATAATATATATATATATATATATATATATATATATATATATATATATATATATATATATATATATATATATATATATATAATAAGCCGCTGATATCGATGCCATTTTAGAAACTGGCAGGTAGTGCACACCATTATTGTACGGAAGTGCAAAAGATGTGAGTATGAGTAAACTACAACGCATCGAAGACCTATCAGCTTATCTGGAACAGATGCGTAACGAGTCCTTTATTAAGGCTACCACCAAAAATAGTACAGTAACGTTTTCATCTCTGGTTCCAACGGTTGCTGCATTGGAGGAACACATCAAAAGAGTTTATTTACAAACCCAGATATGGCATGGAAACAAAGACATTCGTCCAGTTAACTGGGGATGGTGCAAAATTGAAGGGTCTTTGTTTCCAACTAAAATTCCCAATCCACCTGCTCCAGAAGAATTGTTAAAAATGATTTTTTGCAACTGCAAAAAAGGGCGCGGCGTTTATTGCGGGTGTCGAAGAGTAGGGTTATTTTGCAATGCAGTCTGCGGATCACGCAGTGGGAACAATTGCCAAAATAGCCCTCCAATTAATGAAAAAGCAGAAATTGGTGAAGAGACCTCTGATGAAGAGTGAAAAATTAAAGTACTATTAATATTTGACAAATTTATGAAACATCACTTAAATAAAAAATGAATGAACTTTTTATACATTTTAATATTTATATTAATACGTTTTCCTCTTAACTAACAAATTAATTTTTTTATAAGTCACATAAGCACTGAAAAAATTGTTCAGGAAATGTGGAAAGAATAATATTAATAAGGTTTGGAATATATTAATAAAGTTTATCATAACCAATAAAAAAGCTTCTAAATGATTAAAGCTAATAAAAAACCATTTTCCATTATTTTTATGACAAGTGGTAGTTTTTAAGGGTGCAAAATTATGCAATAAATAAATAAATACTTTAATACTCAGTAAGTAAATGAGATTTATTTAAATTCAGTAATGTGTTATTAAAATAATTAAAGTTTCTTGAAATTAATTTTTTTAATGATTCTGCTTTAAGGTTGTGGTTTTTAAGGGTTGAAATTTTACAGTCAATCAAAAATGAAATCATAAACAATAAAGAAACTATTTATGTAATATTAATATCGATTTGATATTTCAGAAATATAAAAAAATGATTTTTTCATGATTTTCGATTTAAGGGATAGTTGCTAAAAGGGTTGAAAAATTAATTAAAATCATAAATCATGCTTATAAATGTTGCAAAATATTTATTTTATTTAATTAATCGAGATTACTCATGCCAGAATGCTTAAATCTGCATTTTTTAACATTTTTAACAAAAGGGGTGGATTTCACCCCTAAAATGCAAAAAGCGCAAGTTGGGCATATGTCACTTTTGAAGTTGAGGGTAAAATATACTCAATCCCACATTTTCATGCAAATCGATGGAGGTTCACCGAAATCGGAGGTAATAGTTGATTTTTACCTTGATTCACTGTACTATTAGTATTTACAGCTGGTTCCTAAAAAAACTGATACGACTCTTAAAGCATATTTTGTAGAAAATTGAGCAGTGTATTTTAAAGGATAAATATTTATTATTTACATACTGTCACTGCCAAATCTTAAAATTTGACAAATAACTTATTCTGTTCAACCTTAAAAAATGGCTAAATATGCTAGCAAAGAAACAAAAGCAAGAATTATAACGAAATTAAAAGATATTTGGTCACTATCTGCCGTAGCGAACCATTTTAACGTAAGCAAAACAACAGTTTTTATTATTAATAAAAGATGGAGAGAACAAGAAACTCTCGAAAGAAAGCAAGATTCTGGAAGATCAAAAATATCTACCGCTCATGAAGATCGTACGCTTTTGTAGAGATTAGAAGTGAATCCCTTTGATGAAGCGAAAAATGCAAGAATTATGTCACGGTTTCCGGAAGAAAGACAACAACTTGGCACAGAATTAAAGCATCGCGTCTTAGGTACCGAACTGCAGAAAAAAAAACAAGCTCTTACACCACAACAGAAGCAATCAAATTAGGATTGACAGCTGTTAAAAACGCGAGGTATCAAAGGTAAAGTGAAAGAGGATGACGAGTGTCAGATTATTCTGATCAGAATTTGAAGCTCGTTTTATGCATTTATTGATTTAAGTAAAGTTTGCATTTAAGAAAAATAAAAAAGTGTATTTTTAATTACATGATAACCATTGATACCTCGCGTTTTTAACAGTTGGGAACCCTAATTTGTGACTATTTTCTTCTCAGACAACCTTATATTATCGTATTAAAAAATTAGCTTTAACTTTATATAAAACACATACTATACGTCACGAGCAGCTTATTTTAATTAAAAAATAAATGAACGAAATTTTTGTTCAAGAATTTATTACAATTAATTTAATTAAAACTAATTGCGGCCACTTTTTGACTTACAACCTGATTAATGTATTCTCCTACTCTTTAATGTATGTAAAATTGAGTTTCATTAACTACATTATGAACGTAGCGATTATGCAGTGAGATCTTAAACTATAATATAGTGTAATACCAAAAGGGGACAGAGCAGAGAAAGGAGTAGCGATTCTGATAAAAAAAATACCACGAATATCGATATCATAAATAAAAAAAATAATGAAGTAACTCATGAACGTCGTGGGAGGAAAACTAGCATTAATATTAATATATAACAAATCCCAATAAGCTTACAGAAGCTAAAAAGAGATCAGGCTTGGACAAAATCACTGAAGAACTAGAGAGTGACTACCTAGGATTTATGGTCAATGTATGTGATGAAGATAATTCCGACGAATTAATTCAATTTAGTGACCATGATTCATGTTCCGAACAGGAAGTTAATGCTGATGATGAAAACCTTCACACTATTGATAATGAAATCCAAACAGAACACAAAACACACCTTTCTTTGTCACAAAATAGGATGGTAAAAACATCCGCTGAAAAGCAAATTTGCGAAATATGACTCTAGAAATACAGTCAAAATATTTCGTCAACCTTCGGAAAGCAAAGAACAGATTTCTGATGAATTAGGTGCCTTTATTTATTTTTTCACAGAATATATGATTAAAAATATTTTGAATTATATAAATGCATTTATTAGAGATATTTAAGTCTACATTAGACAAAGAGATGCTAAAGAAACAAGAAAGGAAGAGAAATTGGCTCTTTTAGGCTTATTTTATTTATTCGTGTTTTCAGACTTAAAAATAAAGAAGATCGTCTACAAAGAAAACGATTAAATTGTTTCGCCCCAATTCGAAATATTTTGGATTAGTTTGTCAACAAATAAAAAAACAATTATTGTCCAGCGGAACACATAACAACAGATGTGATGCTGATTCCGTTTCATGGCAGATGTAGCTTTATACAGTATATTTATACCAAATAATCCAGCTAAATATGTATACTATATACTGATTGTATGATTATAAAATCTTTTATGTTTCAAATTTAGACATATACCCTGGGAAATAACCTGAGAGGAGATACAGAGCTTAAAGTCTCTAACAGATGCAGTCCTTAGGATGGTAAAGTATTTTGAAAATATAAATTGAAAACTAAGCGCAGATAACTGGAATACAATTACATCTTGCCAAACTTATTAATTACAAAAACTTCTTGAGAAGAAAATAACATCGGTTGATATTCTAAAAAATATCCAGCCAAACTTGTTCCTAAACAAAGATATGCCCATACACTCATCTATCTTTTCTTTCTCTGACAAAAAAAAATTAATTTCTTATATATTCAAACAAATCTAAGGAAGTAGATTTTCCTTATGTTTAAAATATATAGCCAGCTCCCCAATTTATTGAAAAAGAGTTATAACATAGTAGCATACACTGCAGTTACCACAACAAACTACATAAAAAATCGTGATAGTTGATTTGTAGTCTTAAACAATTTTGGGCTCAAGTGACGTTAAAAATAAAAAAAAATTAAAAATAAAATTAAAAATAAAATTGTGATTTTAAAAATCCAATTATTTTTAGATGAAAATTTAATGTGTGGTCAAGTAGAACACCCTGTATTAGAATAATCCATGAATGTGTCAAAAGAAATTCGGGTTGCCTAACGTATATGACTGATATAATAGTTGTTCTCGTTTTTATTTATCACAATAAATACTATGAATTCATATAATTTAAAGAGAAAAATAATTAACTGAAGTTGATCATATAACACGTTTCAAATAATTTATTTGCAAATATTTTATGTTTTTATAATTATGTTGGCAAGGGACAACCTAAAAATCGTTTAAAATGGTCAATATGACATTATGACATATGTCAAATGTGTCATTCATTTAAATCTGTTTGAAATATTTTTTCCTATTATTTTTTTCTTTAATATCGAGTTTTAAACTAAACAAAGGGTTATAAGTAACTTTTCAATGTAACAAGGGGCCAGAATAGTCAATAAGGTAAGCCTAGCATTCTTTATAATAATTTAATGCCTCAATATATTAAAAACCAACAAGGTATATTAACGGTTATATTCATACCAAAGAATATAGACTTTGTTCATACTTAAAGTTCTAGCAACACTGTTATAAGTAAATGTACTAAATATTGTAGTTATTAACATAAAAAATATAAGAAAAACAAAAATTTCTCAAATAGCAACAATATATATTTAAAAATGAAGCTTTCATTTTTAAATATAATTTCAATATTGCTTTGCTTGATGTATTTTGAGAACGATTTCCAAAGTGGACATCGAAACGTAAAATAAACTTAATTTTAAAGCAAGACTGTTGCTTATTCTCAACAAAAAGAGTAAATTGTAATAAGATGCCACAAGATAATAGCTTCAGAATAATCGCTGTTTTTAAAATTAATAATAAAATTTCAAACTTTAACTTATGCAATTACTGTATGAAAATATTCCAAAACTGCATGTCCAATTGGATTTCATATCTTTTAATGGATATTAAGATTAATATATTCAATTCTAATATGAATGTAAACTTGAAGATGCAACGTGTAAATAAATGTGCAGGCACTTACTTTGTAGTCTGAATATCTTTTCTCAGAAATAGTTGTATTAAAAACTTCCTGTAATTTAATTTTTAATGGAAAAGATCCTTCTTGACAACAAGGCAGCCAGCCGGTAAATGTCAATTTTTGACAATTGACGTACAATCTGTTACGTGTGTTTTTTCAACTTACACAAGTGTAATTGAATTTTGTTCTCAACCAATGACTAGTGAAAGCGTGTCTGTCGATTGGGTTACATAAAATTGGGAGGAAAAATATGATTAATTTAAAAGCCGGCAATATTTGAATAAAGCTTTTAAATGTATATTGAGTAACAACGATTTGTGAAAGTTTTTCTATAACTTCATTTTCATTATTTTCTCCTGAAACTTCTATTAACTTTTGAAATAATATATTGCCGTAAACGGATAACGGGAATCTATTCCTTTGGTAACTTTTTTCTGATACAGACTTTATAGCCGAAAAAACGTGTAACATGACATCGCTAAACGGCATATAGATAATTTGTGAATTTAATGTGCCCGGGTATACATTTTTATGTGTAAAATGATACCCGAACTTTTTATGATTAGGACATTAGGAGTGCTGGAACTCTAGTGCCCCTAACTTTAATAATAAGTACTGTGTTTAACTTCGTATGTGCGCATAATGAGCTAATATAAAGAACGTTTATGCAACAGAAGACGAAGGATGTGCCACAGTAGAAGATCGATTTCTACTATTTTTCAAGAGAAAAGACATCCAATATTAGAAGGCATTAGACTGTTCCAAAAACAATTCCGGACATCTTTCCGAAACTGTTTCCTTGTTGCATCTCAGATTTGATCAAATATTTCGTTGTTAATACACCTCATCTTTTATAGGCCTTTCTCTGGTTCCTTTTTTTTGAGACTTCCATGTTTTTATGATTCTTATTCTCAATTTTATGACATTCTTTTTATATCACCAAGCCAGTTTAGCCTTCGTGGCTTGACACAAATCTGAATATATCTGCGCTCTACAGTGATTAGTCGAGCTCATGGTTCCTTTTAATTTTACACATACAGTCATTGCGATTATTATATTTCTTAATATTTTGCGCTAAAAGTTTTTTAATGTCCAATTTTTAATTTAACTAAAATAAGTAATTGATGAGTACACATTTTACGTCCACATTCCACTGTTTGCCAAATAGCTGTGCGATGATTATCTGGGATGGGAAGTGTGAGTAGCGCGAGATGGTTTCGTGTCTTTTCTCCATAAATTTTGATGCAACAGAGTGTGATGCTCTTTGCAGCATATCGAACAGCTGCGAGAGGAGCAATCAGCATGATTGTGTCTTGTACCCAAACAATTGGAGCACATGTGATTTGATTTCAGAAAATTGTATTTTTCAGCTTAAGAGAGAGTAGAAAATTATCTTCATGAATAAATTTTGTCATTGCTGTAGTTGCATTTTATGTAATTGCGAGATGGGACGAAGGCATAGGCATTCAAATGGAGAGAGGTGGTATTAGATTTATTATGTGATTTGTCCCTTTTTGATTCAGGGATATTTGTTAAGTCTGTGAGAATATTGCAGCGTTTATTTTAGATTTCAAATAATTCAACTATTGAGGGAGTACAATTCCGATCTCTCATTTCTCCGTTGTGCCGTTTGGTGGGTAAAATCGAGTTTTCGAATTATTAAATTAATTAGGAGATAATCCGAAGAATTTATTGGAACTTTAAACATTTGACAATTGCTTCTTGATAGTGCTGGGAGATCTGTTATAGAATTAATGTGCGAATTAATTATTGCGAGATTATTGTCATATTTCCTTTCGAACATGTCAATTTCGAGATCAAAGTTTTCGTGTGTGATTTCGAAAGGGTCAATGAGATTGAGAGATTCGCCTCGAAGTGAGAATTTTGAATTTTAAGTAAATGAGTTTTTGAGCCTTAGGGAGAGAGTAATTTTCAATAATGAGAGAGGAAAATAATTGTTATCGTCGGATTCTATTTGGTCAAATTTCGTAATAATTTTTGAAAGCATTGATTAATTGAGTTTTTTTGTAAGATAATTCTAAAGTATTGGTTTGAATATCGAGAAAATTGTTTATCCAATTTAAAATCCTTGTGATGGTCGATTTGCTTATTCCACGTTTCCGTTTCCGCATAATGCTGAAATGCTGCTCCAATCCAGTAATTTATAGAAAAAAAGACAAAACCGCCAAATTCAACGTTTTTAATGGTTGTAACAAACTTTAACATATTTTCATACAATTCAATTTTTTCATACATAAACCATTTTTTGCAATATATTTCGAAGAAAATGCATAAATAAGACAATAAAACTGAAAGAGTGATTAGCTTTTAAATAGGAATTCTAAAAACTATAAAACCTAATGACACACTTTCAGGTAAACATTAAACCTGCTTTTTATCGAAGTTGGTCAAATGACAACTTTACGAGCAGGTATCTTAATGGAAAAACGGGATTTTTAAACTGGTTTTTTTGAGATGATAAATTGGAACCAAACCGAACATGTTTTTGTATTTTAATTGTAATAGAAAAAAATAAATGATTCTCAGTGGTAATATTAAGACTTTAACAAATTGCATGAGTTATTATTATTAATGTAGCAAATATCGTTCTTGAATAAAACTTTCTGTAATTTAATACAAAAATTCTGTTGTAGATATGTATATTGCATCAGTAGCTACCACTATTAAGTTCCATGAGTTTCCTAACGGCAACGTTATTCATAACTACCAGCCTGGAAAAGTAGAGGGTCCAATCCGAAGCGTCTCTTGGAGCCGAGATGGTAATTGGTTAGTCGTAGTTCCTCATTCCGGTCAGACTGAAATAGTAAGTACTAAGGACCAACTTAAGCTTCTTAAGACTATCCATGAAGTAGATGAGCCCACAGTAGCTTGTTTTCAAAACACGACAAAGAAACTTGTCGGTATAGGAACAAAGAGTGGGTTAGTGCTAATATATGATATTAAATCTAGAAATGTTAAGAAGAGATTTCCTCGAGCCTCAACACAAGTTACTCATGTGGCGTTTACAGCTAAGGATACTCATTGTGTTGCAGCTTGTAAGAACGGGGAAGTACTGGTTTACAATAATGTAACGAACAGTCCACCTGCCAACCTTAGAGTTCCAAAATCAAACTCAGTCAGTTGCCTTAAAACTAATCAGTTAAAAAGGAATTTAGTTTTAGGAGGTAGCAATGAAGGCATCGTTGTTGTTTGGGATATCAATATCAACAGAAGCAAATTTTGCACTGAGGCTCACAAAGCGCCTGTCAGTTCTGTAGCTTTCTCACCTGTTAATCCAGACTTGATAATTACTGCCGGTTCTGATAGGCAGTTCTGTTTCTATGACATAATAGACAACAAATGCATAGCTAATGTTCCGGTTGAAAACAACATCACTGCCGTAGATTTCTCACCAGATGGAACCTCCTTCGTTTTGGCGTCTCAAAATGGCCGAGTGTATGTGTATGATTCCAGAAATATTCAAGAACCTGTACACTCTTTTATAGCCCATAAAAGTGCAATAAAATACATCGCATTTCAAAAAGTAAACGAAAGCAACGACTCAAGTGTATGTAGTATATCTAAGTCTAGCGAAAATAGTGCTTGTTTACTAGCCGAAGATATCAAAAAACAACCTCGCAGAAGTGTTAGAACAAGCGATTTCTTTGGAATGTACGTGCATACCGTAGACGGTGCATTGGAAGCAAAATCTGTAGCTTCTATGGAAGGTGGCGACTCCTTTATAGCGGCACTAGGTTTAGATAAAAGCAATGCCTCAGAATCTGTCAATAACGATGACGTTTTTCTTAAAGCTGATATCAGTCGTTTACCTAGCATCCATGATGCAGAACTTCCTTCCTCGAACTCCATTCATCTAGGAAAAGTGGATGTAAGCGATTGCAAACCCAAACAATTCTCTTCGACGCCCAAATTTCAGTTCTTTACAAAATCGGAAATGAGTCCCACTATTGTACAGAATGTTGTACCTAATAATGCTTCCACCAGTGACATTAAAGCTGTAGTAAGAGAATGTTTCAACGAAGAATTTAGGAACGTAGTAAGTGATTTAAAGAACGATATTAAGTACCAAGCTACTCACACCACTTACCAATTGAGATCTATGCTCCTCGACATGCAGATGGCAATGGTTAAGGAGTTTATAAAAGTTGAAAATTTTAATAATAGATTGCGCGATGATATGTTGCCGAACTCGAATTATGAAGCTAGTTTAGTAGAAGAAAACGATAGATTACGGAAACGAATTGATTTCTTAGAGGAACAATTGAAGAATTTATCAGAGGATAAAGAAAGTGGAGTGTAGTATGTTTGTTTTTCAGAATGTTTGTATGTAACTTAAAGTGTTTTGTATTGTATTTTTTATACTGATAAATATATTTTTATGATGTATTGTTTGTTTTCTAAACTTATGTGATAACTCAGGCTTTAAAATAGTATTCTAGCCGTGGTAAATTGTTTTCTGAGTTTATAGGCCATAACTTTTTGTGGCTAACTTGTCATCTGCATCTCTCTCTTCAATCCTGACCCCTCAGGGGGAGTGTAGTGGTCGACGTGATGTCGTGTATTGTCCGTCTCCAGAGATCTCTGTCTCTGGTCATTTCTTTTAATTCATGCATGGGTCTTTGGCATATTCCTGTAATTTGATCTATCCATCTTGTTGGGGATCTTCCTCGTGATCTTCGGCCTTCTACCTTTCCTTGTATTATGAGTCTTTCCATGTTTTCTGTGTTTGCTCTCATAACATGCCCAAAATATTTTAATTGTTGGAGATGGACTTTACTAGAGAGTCGTTGGCTAACTTTTAGCTCTCTTAAAATTGAATTATTTGTTCTACTGTCGGTCCAAGGAGTAACATTAGTCTCAAACAGAACATTTCAGTGGCATCTATCTTTCTTCTCTCCGATTGTCTCAGAGTCCAAGATTCACATCCGTAGGTCAGTATTGGGAATATTAAGCAGTTGATCAACCTCATGTTTATCGCTCTTGAAATTTGACAGTCCTTCCATATTTTGGTCATTTTTGCTGTGGCAACTTTTGCTAGATCACATCTACGTTTAATCTATTCTTGTAATGACCCTGTGTTTGTGATTAATGATCCCAGATATAAGTATGAGTTCACAACCTCGAACCGGTCAATTGTGGTTATGTGTGGATGATTGTTGTGTAGTCTATCCACTATCATGATCTTTGTCTTTGATATGTTTAATTGCAGACCAAATATTTGACTTTCGTTTTCGATCAGTCGTATAAGTTCCATCAGCTCTGCTTGACTATTTGCAGGAAGGGCTGTGTCATCTGCGAGACGTAGGTTGTTTAGTTTATGACCATTTATTGAGATGCCCTTTTCCCATCCTTCAAGTGCTCGTCGCATAATATACTCCCCATATATGTTGAATAATTGTGGAGATAGTATACATCCTTGTCTGACACCCCGTTCTGTATGAAACTCGTTCGAAAGTGTGTCAAGTACTTTAACTGATCCAGTAGTGTGTTCATATAGTTCAGTTACAAGCGTAATTAGATGTTGTGGTACGCCTACTTCTTTTAGTATTCGCCATAAGTGTCTCCACTTGACCCTGTCGAACGCTTTACGGTAATCGATAAGACAGATGTATAGTGGGATGTTAAATTCCCTAGATTTCTCGATTATCTGTCTTATATTCAGCAGGTGTTCTCGAGTGCCTCTACCTTTGGTAAATCCAGTTTGCTCTTGTGGAATTTCTCTTTGTAGGAATGTTTTCAGTCTCTCATTGATTATATAATGTCATCTGCATAATATGTATATATATATATATATATATATATATATATATATATATATATATATATATTATATATATATATATATATTGTTCAATTTATTAAACTCACTTAGCAAATTCTAGTTTTTTGTGATTTATAATAATTATATAACTAAAACATTAATATTTTGTTAACCCACCCTTGGCTTTAAGCAGTGCAGTCACTGTCCTAGGCATGCTGTTTATGCATTTTCCTGCGATTTCTTTTAAATTTTCGGTGTGATTCCAATGGAAAATGATTATTTCTGTCAACTGAACCTTGTTGGTATTTATTTCCTTGGCTAATTCTCTTTTTAGTCACTCCCAGACATTTTCTATGGGGCTCATGTCTGGTGAGTTGCCGGGCCACGGTAAAGGCGGAATTTCTTGTTCTAACAAAAATTTTTACTGTCTTACTAATAAAACACTCGTATTCTAAGGTTATTCCGTATTTATACTTAGAATAGTTATCCTAAGTATAAGGTAAATATAATACTAAAATAATTTGTTACAAATAAACTCGGTATAAGTTAGTTATAAGTATTCCCACTTTATTCCGAAATAATAGTTTGGCAATGTCGCAATCTTTTGCATAAATACATGGAACAACGAAATATTGAGTGAAATATGTCAATTTTGATTTTTCTTTGAAACTGACAATGACAACTGACACCATATATATCTTTATTTAATATCTTATATCAAAGAATATAGCATGAATATAGACTATATTCTTTGCTTATATGTTGAGTTTGAGTATTTAAAAATTGCAAAAAACCTTACAACGACTTTAGAAAACCGATATTTTATTCTAAATTCTCTATCAGTGTTTTGAAAAGGGATTTATTATTTCTTTAAAAGTTTTTCTTTTTCGTGTATTTTCCATCATGTTAATTAAATTATCAACTTCCTCGACAGCCGCAACACCTCTTAAACACATTTTTTTTATTAAATAGCTACTCACAAAATAATACAAAAAATAATATATTCTTGTCACTCATGACTTTCACATTTATAAAATAGGTTATACCGTTATACCAGACTTAAACTAGGGTGCGGGTCGGTATAATCTTGGAATAGATTCTTATATCAAGTATAACCTATATCTAAGTTATTCCGTGTTTATTGGTAAAGATTTTGCCTATACCTGATTTATTCTCAGTATAAGTTTTATACTTGGTTTATTAGTTACGCTTTTAATGGCAAGATGCTCGATCCTGCATAAATATTTATGGCTGTTACCAAACCATTCGTTGATTTGTGGAACTAATCTTGTCTGCAAAACCCTTTTATATTGGTCTTGTCGCATGGTTCCTTTGCATACAAACGTCCCATATCTTTGCCTCTAATCACCGACCCTATCATTACTGAGGTGGGATGTTTCGAACTGACGTCACAGGTCGCTTCTCTTTGATTTTTTGACTCAATCTTCTCATTGACGACTCGGATACACCACATTTTAGTGCTATCTCTCTCTGATTAAGTGCTGCTCTCTAATAGGCTAGTAATGGACGAGATTTTCTCAACACAAAGATCTTTAGATTTACCTAAAAATTTTCAATAAACACGACCCTAGAAGCTGTAGCCATGCCGTAACTGCATGGTGTCCCAACAAAATTGTCATATGCAATATTTATATTCCTCCTAACTATAATCTCGCGAGCGTTGAGGTTTCAAATTTCATTAATCAATTCCCAGCTTCATTCATAGTCATTGGAGATTTGCCTACATTGAGATCTAAAAATACATTTGGTAGGATTAAAATTATTGATGATATTATCATTAATCACGATGTTAACCTTTTAAATACAGGAAGTAGCACGTGTTTTCATTCTCAATCTGGTTCCTTCTCGTTAATTAAACTGAGTATTAGTGATACTAAAACAACTCCTTTTTACCTGGTACACGCTCGATAGTCTCTATGACAGTAACCACCTCCCTATCTTCATCACCAATAATGAAGTTAAACAGTTTTTTACAAAAGAAAATGGACTATCTCAAAAGCTAATTGAATACAATCTTGATACTGATGTTGAACAATTAATAAATGTATATTACAAGCAGCAGAAGAATACATTGAAAAGTATATCATCAATGATATACTTTTCAACTAAACCGTAGAGTCACTACAGAAACAAATGAAACAAAACTAGTACCTAGACAATTTGTATGTATAACATTTATCGGAGCTTCTTACCAAAAGAAGTCATAATTAATAGTTGCATTTTTCCAGTGGCACCGTACATATATATATCCTGTTATACAGTGTCAGAAATGCTTAAGATATGGACATATGACACAACAATGTAATGGGAAAGAGCGCTGTAAAAACTGTGGTGAAAATCATAATAATAAGGACTGATTTGTGGGAACTAAATGTTTATACTGTGGTCAGCAACATTCGGCACTATCAACAGAATGCTCAGAATATATTAAACAACGTAAAATTAAGGAAATTATGGCAACAAGAAATATTTGGTTTCAGGAAGCTGAAAAAGTTCAAAGCAATCCAAATTATTATTCGAACATATTAACTAATAATAGATTTTCGTTACTAATGATTCTAGTAGTTTTCCTCTGCTACCTTCCAAAAATGTTAATGTACCTTCAGTGTGCAGTATCTCTAAACCGAGAGTTGTGAGAAGAAATTCCGTATCAAGTAACAGTTCTGAATCTTAAAAAAAAAACTGAATGAGAGCAATCATATTGATAATGAAAGAGTTGAAAAAAGTACAGCCAGTTCGTCAATCTTACCAAATCCTTACAGGGATGAGTTCATGAGACATAAAGAAAAAATAGTTGAAGGTATTACTAATATAATATTCAGCTTTCTCTCTGTTTTAAATTGCAAAGATTATATAGACAATGATCAAAATTTTATTAAAAAACATATTTCAAATCTATTGGAAAATGTATCCACATCCAATGGATCATAACAGTTCAAATAATTTAAATATAATTCAATGGAATAGTCGTTCTATTGCATCTAATGCGCAATCTTTTAAACAATTTCTGTATTCGAATGTTATTGATAATGCAATTTTCTTTGAAACATGTTATAAGACAAAACACAACATTGTTTATAAGGGATACCAAATTATTAGAAAAGATCGTCAATATCGTAGATTTGTAGGTGTAGCTATATTTTTAGGCCTACGGATAAATAAGTATAAGATATTGGATATTATAAATGTTAGAACATTGGAAATGTGTGGTGTAAAAATTGATTTTAATGGCAGAATAATTAACATAATCTCATTATATAAACCTGACAAGAATATAAGCACCCGAGAATGGGAACGGCTTTTCAATTGGTGTTCCTCACTCGAATGAGAGACGGTACTAGGAGGTGACTTCAACGACCATCATGAGATATGGGGTTCTCCAAAAAATGATATTGATGGCAATAGAATTGATGCATTAACTGATATGGATTTAATATTTCTAAATGATGGTTCAGCGACTAGAATTACCCATCCAAACTCTACAAAATCAGCTGTAGACTTAACGCTTATAACTCCTGGACTAATTGCACTAGCACATTGGCAAACGTTGGACAGAACTCTTGGATCTGATCATTATATTATTTCCATCAAGTTGAATATTGATGTACAGCAAGGAAATGGAAATTATAGAAAGCCAACTGGGAATTATTTCATAGCACTCTTGAAATGGAACTGAAGAATGTTGTATACTCTGAAAACTGTAATGAAATGGCATTTAATCTGAATAGAGCAATTAATACAAGCAGTGAAGCTTCTGTCACCCAAAACGTACCCTTCAGTCCTAAACATAGACAAAAATCAATTTGGTGGGATGATGAACGTAATACACAGCTACCGCTTAAGAAGAATGCTCTTAAAAAATACAAAACCGCATCTACACTGAATAACTTTCTTGAATATAAAAGATAGAAGCTACAACTAAAAAAATGTTCAAACACAAAGCCAAAACAACATACAAGTACTTCTTGAGAACAACAAATAATAAATATTTTTTTTCCTAAAATTTTAATTTTACAATCTTAGTTTGAAAAGAATTAACCATTCAAAAATACTTATTTACTTTGTTTTGAAATATAATCTAATTAGTGATGTTTTAAACTTTCTAATCCTGTCTGTTTATCAGCTTTTACCTATTGTTCCTAGGCTGATGGCCCTCAACTATTTATATGTTGGAAATTGTTGAAAATGTTTCGATATTTTCATTTTTAACGTTAGTAATTTGTGGTATTTTGTCAATGTCAAAATCGATTGAATTTGGTACTCACCACTACTTGCTTTTAAAACCTCGATGACGTAATTCCAGATAGTCCTCAGAAATTTTTTAAATGTAAAAATTATGCGATCGAGCAGTAGATCATATTGATTTTAGTTCACCTCTATACAATTTCTTATTTTATACAGAATATAATTGACTTCTATATTGCCATTTCTAAATAAATTGTCAATTTTTTGTAGTACAATGTTACTATCAGAACAAAATTTATATCCTATTCTTGTCGAAGTTCCTTCTCCTATCGAAGGTTGGCCATCACCACAGGTATCCGTGAATACTGATATTCACCACCTGAAAAAATCTATTGAGCTGCAACTATACCACTTTCTTAAGTTTCTCAGCCAGGAAATTCTTTTTCTACTTATGGATCTTTTACTCTTAATTTTACCTTGCATTATAAGCCCAATATCTCTTTCGCACCTTCGGTAATGTAACCTAAATATTCCAGCTTTCTTGTGTTGATGTTCTTTATCACCTCAGAATCCTTTTGTAACATTGTAACCTTTACACTTTTGCATTTGTAACTCGTTAGATCCAGGTATTTTCAAAATCCCTCTATAGCACCAGATCTCAAATGCTTCCAACTTCTTTATATTGTCTACTTTTAATGTCTAGCTTTCCACTTCATGTAACAAAGTCGAGAACACGTAGCATCTTAAGGCGCTTATCCTCAGCTCCAGAGATATTCCTCTGGAACTTATATGGAAAAATAACTTAAAATTTATTAGTGACACCAAAAATCACAAAGAATAAAAAATGTAGGTTTTGCTTTTCTGAATATTTTGGTCATAGCTTGCTTACTTTTGATGCTAGAAACTTAACAAAAATAAACCTTTTTTAAACACTTTAAAAAAATAATATTTTATAATATATAATATTTATAAGAACCTATTTTCCTTCTTCTTCTTAAGGTGCCGTGCATTTCTGCGTAGGCGTCCACCGTACATCGTCTTGTCAGGTGAGATGTTAAATATTCTGGTTTAAATAATTCTGTTTTTAGCAGCATTGCGAAGCATTTCATAGCTGTGGATTCCTGTCCATTGTCGAATATTGCGCAGCCATGACATTTTTTTACGTCCAAGACCTCTCCTACCCTCTATTTTCCCTTCGAGCATCAGTTGCTGAAAAGTGTATCGTTCTCCTCGTATAATGTGCCCCAAATATGCAGTCTTCTTACTTTTTACATAATTAAAAAGTTCCCTATCCTGTAAGCCCGCTCTTCTGAGTACTTCCTCATTTCTGACCCTGTCCGTCCATGATATTCTGAGCATTCGACGCAGGCACCACATTTCAAACACTTCAAGTTTGTTAATGGAACTGGCCTTTAACGTCCATGCTTCCATTCCGTACAGGAGAACAGGCCACACGTAACACTTAAGCATCTTGTATCGGAGGTTGAAGTCCAATGTGCGATCAGTCAGAAACTTACGAAGCCTCAAAAAAGCATTTCTGGCTTGTTCAACTCTGCTCTTTATTTCATTCTCGGGTCCCAACCCTCATTCAGCAAACATCCCAAGTATTTGAATTGCCTGACTTGTTCGATTTCTTCTCCAGAGACATATATCTTTGCGTTGGGGTAATCATTTCTACTTATAATCATTGATTTTGTCTTCTTGATATTTATTTTCAAACCCCGAGCTTCACTTGCAAGAGTTAGATTATTTAAAAGGCATTGAAGATCTTCGATGTTATCTGCCACTATGGCTGTATCATCGGCATACCTGATGTTATTAATAAATATGCCGTTAACTTTAATACCCTTATTAGAGTCTTCCACTGCTTCTGCGAAGGCTTTTTCTACGTATAAATTGAACAGCATTGGGGACAGTATACAACCTTGCCTTACTCCTTTTTTAATGGAGAAATCTTCTGTTTCGTTGAAATTTTGAAGACGTACTGTTGCTGTCTGATTCCAATACAAATTGGCGATGATTCTTATATCCTTTGCATCCAATCCCAACTCTTGTAGGTATTTTATCATCAATTCATGTTTTACATTATCATCATCTATTTTCCAATAACTCGAAAAGTATTGACTTAGTAAAAAAACTGTATAGAACAAAAGTTGCTTAGAATTACTGATTTTAGGCATTTCCGAACTTATCTTGAACATATATTTTTCCACTCCCGAGAAGGGGTTATACTGAACCATAGGGCAAAAGCATCTTTTTTTCTTTGACATCCTAGCTAGGCGTAAGCCAAATTTCATGTCAATCCAAGCGATTTTTTAAAATTAGGTTTTGCAATATTTTGCCATGAGTGAATGGACTAAATCTGGAAATAAATTCTGTATATTAGCTTGAAATATTTTAGTTTGCATCAATTCTAGAAATTAATTTGTTTAAAAAGTTACAAAAAAGTAATTTACGTGAGATGTAATTTATCACTGCTAATTTTATTATGTATTTTATGTTTTGTTATTTTTTTTATATTGTATTGATAAATAAATAATTTTTAGAAAACCTTTACTGTTTTTATTAATCAATTTTTAGCGTTTTTTCTGAAGTAAAACCGAAATTTCATAATATACACATAATATATTAAAAGCACGTTAAAATTATTTGTGAAAATGCTGAATGCTATCCTTATATTGTCGTCTATTGAACTAGACAATGGCCGGACCAGGCAACTCAAATTTATTTTTCAATCTTGGCAAATATTTCAATTAATATCGCCACCATACAGTCAGGTAGTACTTAGGCGTGAGGGGCACAGAGGTGTAAGTGAGCGGAGTTTAACACTGAATTCGTTTTCACCTTAGAGTGAGGTATCTAGGTGGTGGTTTATAATCAATGGTGCGAGGTACAGAAGTTACGATGAATTTTTTATATTGGAAAATTAGCTGTCATTTTCTTAATTTTTAATATTTTTGTACCAAAATTTCAGAAAATACTCTTGAAATGTACTATAATGTACTATTACAAATAAATTTATCCTACCCCCCCCCCCTAAAGAAGAACCAGGGTGGCTATTAGTGACTTCAATAATCAAACTAACTGAAAAACAATGCATAAATTTTATACTTATTTATACTATTGAAATAAATCAATTTCTTATGAAATATTTTATTTTAGTAACCACAAGGCGTTTAATAACAATGTCCATAAGTTTTTTGAAAGATGGTACGCGTGTCAAAAATATAAAACACTATTAATTGAACGAGACACTTGATTAACAAATATTTATGTCAACGTCCAAAATACAAAGATTTTTTATATTATATTTAACGTTTTCACTTTAAATCTCCCTGAATGTGTCGTAACAAGGCACAAGCAGGGAAAGAACCGGACTTTCAGGATGGTGCTAGTCGACTGGAATTACTTCTTCTTTAATAAAGAATTCTACGATTTCCTCCTCAACGTTCTCTGCGTTTAATTCATCAGTGTCAATGTCTGAAAATAGAAGAAAATATAAATATTCTTTTCCTAATTATGAAATAAAAATATAAGTACATGTTACAAATTGTCATTGCCTATTGTCAAGAAAAAATAAATACAAATAGTTTCTATCGCTGTAAGCAATATTTCTCTATCCTGAGTGACTCTCTGCTATATTTAAAATAATAATATAACAGTAATAAATCAGGAAATAAGCTAAACACAAATATAATTTACAATTTTTATACACTGCGCATCATTAAAAAGAATGAGAATTTTTGGCCTTTTAAATATTTTGACGAACTCTACAAGAAATAGATTGCGTCATTAGGTGTTTGTGTAATGTTTAAAAACATGTTCTAAAGCAGTATGCAACCATTCATTCAATAATTAATGAAGGGTCTCGGGAGAAAATCATGAATGTCACAAAATATTTTATAGAGACCGACCGATTAATCGGCATCGGCTTCGGCCACCTTCGGCCAATATTTAAACCTTCGGCCAAAACAAAGCCGAAGGTTTTGCCGAAGGTGACTATAGAAATGAAATAATCTCTGAACAATACGCTTCGGCGAGTCTTTGATAATTTGGTCAGGTCAGGTAATAGTAGGTAGGATATAAATTTTAACAATAGGCCAAGATGTCTTAAAGATCTTCATTTGAATATTTCTCACGTAGTAAAATTATGATAATAATTTTATTGTATTTATTAAAACTCACGATTTCTGGTGTTTTGAATAAATGGCAAAACATCGACCATCGACTATGAATGCAAATATTAAATATTTTGCAACAGTTTAAGTTTATTCTCTCGTGGGTGCAGCTTTGCTAATAGTATTGCAAAATCAGTTCAGGTTTTTGTTCTAGTGTTGTAAAAATAACTTTTGGTAAGTCTGTAATTTTTATTTTAATATAATTTTAGTAAATTCAAACGTTTTTAGATAATGTCAATAAAAAATCCAATTTGGGATTATTTTTAAAAAAGTGGCAACAAAGCTGCATGCAAACTATGTTCAAAGTCATTATCGCTTGGCAGTTTAATACCTAAAAAAACAAACTATTACAAACATTAAAAATCATCTACAAAAAATCCATACAGAAGAATGGAAATCATTTTGTGACATTGAAATGGGAATAAAAGTTCGAAAATTGGAACATATGAAAACTCCACATGATGTTACACAACCAGTTTCCAGGACATTTCAGCCCAACCTACATCAAATAATGAAACTTAAGTCACCTGCTCTATGGCCTGATGATCATCCGATATCATCTAGGATTGATAAGAGTATCATGGACCTTATTATTGTCGACATGTTACCATACTCTATCGTTGAAGGAGAAGCTTTTCAGCGTTTAAATTTTGGAGATCCTAATGTTACTTCTAAATACAGAAAAAAAAACGGAAAAGTTTTTTAGAACTAGTTTAATGCCAGCTACCTATGACAGAGTTTGGAAAAAAGTATCAAATTTAGTTTCTAAAGCCGAATGGATAAGCTTTACGTCAGATATTTGGAGCAATCCTGCTAAAACCTGTTCTCTTTTGAGTTTTACAGCTCACTTTGTTCATGGTTCAAAACGTCTTAAAGTTATATTAGGCGCTAGTGTGCTTAATGATGACCACACTAGTATGTTTATTGCAAGTAAACTTAATGAAATAATTAAAAATTTTAAAATAGAAAACAAAATTCATATAGCTGTAACTGATAACGCAGCAAATATGGTCGCGGCTATTCGTATTACACAATTTACATCTCTAAGATGTGTGGTTCACTCATTACAACTTGTAATTCATGATTCTTTATTAAAACAGGAATTAATTGAAAACACAATTAAAAAATGTCGTAAAATTGTGGGACATTTTAAAAGGAGTGAACAAGCGTGCAGGTACCTGAGGCAGTTTCAACAAACTTGCAATTTGCCACAGCATATGTTAATTCAGGATGTGGAAACAAGATGGAATAGCACTTACCTAATGTTGGAGCGGCTATTCGAACAGAAAGTTGCAATAAATTTGTATATGGCGAACGTGGTGGTATTGAAGTTCCCAGTTCAACAGAATGGGAATTGATCAACAATTTAATTTCAGTTTTAACTTGTTTTTACCAAGCGACGCTAGATCTTTCAGCCGATTCTGCTTGTGTATCATTGGTTATCCCACTAATAAAAATGCTAAATGGTAAAGTTTCTGCGAAAGAGCAGGACTCTGAGGAGATAAGTTTATTAAAGCTACGACTTCGTGAATCATTAATTAAAAGATTCGCTAATATTACAAATTTGCCAGAATTGTCAATTGCGACTCTTCTAGATCCTCGCTTTAAATCAAAATATTTGACAGACGAGGAAGTAATTACATGTAAAGCAAGAATTTTAAAATTTCTACGTGAATCTGATAGCTCTAAGTTTAGTTATACAAATAAAGTTCCTATGGCTATCGCTTCAACATCATCATCTACAACTACACATGTAGAAGATCTAGAAAACAATAGTCTTTGGAATTCACATGATACTTTTGTCACAGCCGTTCTAGATACAACAAAAGAAATTCATAACGACAACGATCCCAATGCAGATTACCTAGATTCGTATTTACGAGAGGCTTTGCTTTTAAGAAGTGCCGACATATTTCATTATTGGGAATCAAGTCCCTATATTTCTTTAAAAACTGCAGCCAAAAAATTTCTATCGGCACCACCAACGAGTGTACCTAGTGAGCAGTTATTCAGCTCTGCTGGGCAACTATACGCTGACAGAAGAACTAATTTGTTGGGAGAAAACGCTGACAAGCTTCTTTTTCTTACGTATAATATTAGGATGTTTGATTTCGAATATTAACTACCAGATTCAGTAATCATAAATACTCACTTGCTTTAATGTTTTTTAATGTTATTTATTTTTATTATCGCTTCTATTACCAAATAATGTATAAATATTTGACTTTTTTATCTCATAATTTTATATTTTTGTTTATCACTTATCAGTTAATAAAAATATAATGCACATTATTTAAATTATTAAATAGGTAATAGGTATATTTTTAGTCACCTTCGGCTTCGGCCGAAGGTATCCTTCAGGCCGAAACTTCGGCTTCGGCCAAAAAAATCACATTCGGTCGGTCTCTAATATTTTATTGAAAAACACTTCATCTGATCCCTTTTTAGCAATAAATTCTGGATATGTATAAAGATAAGAATCAGCGTTTGATAACACATGGATGTTAAAAGAGCAAATCGAGAGCTGTAAGCGGTAATATACATCACTGGTGGAGATATTCGGCAAGGAAACATTTTTTTGGAAGTCCATAGCTATAGCTTCATAATTATTTTCTATTCGTGCCCTTCTTTTGATTTCCTTTTTCCCGTCATAAAATGCTTAAGCCCTACGAAGATGGAGCTCTCTAACTGATTTTAATTTGATTATTTCAGTACGTCTACTTTTCGGGTGTGTTTCAGCTGCTTTCATTTTTGCAGTAATTTCGTCACATTGACTGCAGTTATCAGATTGCTTTAACTCTTTCTGTAGATGTTAAAGCTTTGCCATTGTAATACCATGAACTGCACGAAAAAACTTACCATAAACTTCTACTTCTTCTTAATGTTTTTCTCATACTCAGCATTAGCAGTTCACCTTGGCTGAACTCCTGACCCTGTGCATATAGGCTGCATCATGTACATTTTTGGCCCTAGATCCCCGCCTCTGTGTTTACTAAGGATATAAGAGAACACAAATACGCATTTTGTTCATTATGAGATATCAATGAATTAAAATTATTTAAAATTCTTTGTCTATACATTTCATTTACTGTGTGACAACACTTCAAGCGTATGCATTTGCAGAATTCACCAAACTCATGTGACTGAAGCTTAATTTTTTTCATAACTTCGTATAACCTACCCATTTTCACTCTTTTTATATCTGCCATAATTGTTTTAAATAAATTAACCAACCAAACAGAACTGCACAAGCACGTGGTTATAACGATGTATTTACTACACTGACACGATCGTTTGCAAGACAAGGATGCCAATTACATTTTCTGGCGCTGCTGAGTGGACATTCAGTGTTTCAGCCGCTTACGCGCGGACATGCACGGTTTTTTACCGATATAGGGTATTTAAAAACTGTAATAACTCGTGACACGCACTGTTTTCTTCCTTATTTGAAATGTCCAAACAAAGATATTAACAAAACTTCTAAATGACACACTTAACTAAATTTTAGTTAATTTGTGACATTCATGGTTTTCTCCTGAGACCCTTCAAGTTTGAAAAACAAACTTCTTCCAAAATGATGATTTTAATGAAAAATTAAAAAAATTATTGTAAATTTTTTGTTTTCCTTATAAAAATTACAATAAAGTCATAATATTTAATGGGCGATGGACAAAGAGGTTATTGGAATTGAGGCCAAGGAAGACAAGAGAAGCGTCGGTCTACCACCTACAAGATGGACTGACGATTTAAGAAAACAACAAAAACTGGATAAGAGCGGCGCAAGATAGACGGGTTGGAAACATGAGGAAGAGGCCTATGTTCAGCAGTGGACTCTTGAGGCTGGATGATGATGATAATATTTAATATTCTGTATTACCATCTCTATTTTTAATTACACTCCTTATTCGACTTGACATTGAATTGATCAAATTATGGATGTTGTCTTGAGGAAACGCTTCCCATTCTTCCATGAACGCCAACCGAGATGCTCACGATTTATTGGAGCAGGTATTTTGTTTCTTACTCTTCGTTTGAGTTGGTCCCAAACATACTCAATCGAGTTCAAATCTGAGCCTTGAGCTGGCCAATTCATTTTGGCACACCGAAGGTTTCCAGGTATTGCGTTCCCATCTTGGCTACTTGTCTTGCATGAAAATAAAGTTTTCCCCTTCATGCTCGTCTAGAATATCGGTAATGTATTCAACGCTCCTCTATAATAAACACCAGATCAGTACAGTCTTCGAATGAATTGCCTGCCCAAAACATTACCGAACCTCCTCCAAAAGCAACACGTGCTCGTCGAACACTAGCAGCATATCGTTTCCTATGTCTTCTGTACGTTTTGATGCCACCACTTGAGCCATAAAGAACCATCCTTTACTCATCACTAAACAAAACATTTTTTCAATCTTCTGTTGTCTTCTATCAATGCTTATGGTCTCTAGCAAATTTAAGTTGACCTTGTCGATGTGCTTGCTGTTACAAAGGTCCTGTTCCTGGACGAGCCCTTAGACCAAATTTCCTCAACCTTCTTCTCACTGTAGAAGTACTTAATGTCCACTCGTGAGCATTTTGAAAACGGTTTTGGATTGCTCTATCCCTGGTCGTAAAGAACCGATTTTTGAAAGAAGCGTTGTAAAGAACGGTCTTCTCTGGCCGTCGTCACTTTTCTCGCGCCTGATCCTGGTCATTGTTTGTGAGATCCAGTCTCTACAAATTATTGGTATGTTTTTTAGACCATACAAAGACTGACTCCAAGCTGTTTGGCCACTTCTCTTTGACTCATTCTATTATAAATCAAAGTAACAATTTGAACAAACCTAGAAAATCTCTCAGTCATATTTTTAAATTTAAAAATTGCACAAGTTCACTCTTTGCATAACTGTATACTAATGAAAGATTTTTGAAAAACAGAACAGCCATATTCCAAGAAAAACAACACGTGCATTTTCCGAAATCGTAAAGCTGATTTATTCTGCGAACTTATTAGCCTTAACTGACCTTTGGTGGTGCCTAAAAATGTGTCTGCATTGTGGGAGTTTAGTTACATTAGAATAAATTGCATAAGCACTTATTGAAAAATTCTTATAAAATTCTAGGTGGCCTCTTTTTAACGACACGCAGTGTAATTATCATTTATTATCGCGAATATGACGAAAAAATAAAGTACAAAACCAATCCAATATTGAAAACAGATAAAAAAACTTGATCCAGCTAAAACTCATTCAAAGGTAAACCAGTAAATATAGAACAAAATTATACAAGATTTTTTTCAGGACTAGGACTTTTTTTCAAACGAACTTTTCTATAATTTTTAATTTTATTAATGATCTTACTATTTCTAAGCTGCAAACGCCTTGGTTTTTGATCCAAGTACTCCTCGATCCTCTCCTCTCTGTAGGCTTGGAACTTCTCCATAAGAGCAGCTCTCTTCTCGATAAGTTCCTTGGAAGCTTTGGATTGTCGCATCCTGTCTTTGCTCTCGAATTGCGGGTAGTATTTCTTTAGGCTCTTCTTGACCTCTTTTTGCTTTTCATCGCTGAGTAATGATGGTGGTCTAGGTCTCCAGAGAATCTGGGAGAACTTCTCCAAATTGATACGCTTCAGGATTTTTCCTTGGAAGGACCAAATCCAATACCTGTAGAAAAATAAATACACAAAAATTAACCCTTTCATGGCATGTGTAACATAGGACATTAAAAAAATCTTTCATACAAAATGGAGATATTACAACTTGTTATCAACCACGTGCCTAACAAATAAAAAATACAATTAATGAAACAAAAACACGAAAAAATCTTAATATAGATTAACTAAAACAAAACAAAGTAACTTAATATAAAATTACGATGCATTTACTATGCATCGTATAGTAAATGCGTCGTATTTAATAAATAGGGCTAATTAATAAATAGAGCTTTTAAGTATATAAAAGCCCTAACAACTATATGTTGGAACAAGCAGTTATTTTGCGAATATAATGCCAATTTACCAAAATTCTTTTATTTATTATTTTTTTAATTGTAAATATGAAATTAACAATATTTTTTATGATATATGGATTTATTTTTGCGAGTTAATTATATATTTTATATTGATTATTATTGTATTAATTGTTTGATAACCGAAAGATTCTTCTTCTCTTCAGGTGCCATCTCCGCTACGGAGGTTGGCAATCATCATAGCTATCTTAATTTTTGAGGCAGTAGCTCTAAATAGTTGTTTTGAGCTGCATCCAAACCATTCTCTCAGGTTCTTCAGCCATGAAATTCGTCTTCTTCCGATGCTTCTTCTGCCATCTATTTTTCCTTGCATTATGAGTCGCAGGATGCCATACTTATCGCCCCGCATCACATGACCGAAAGATTGCTGACAACTAAATATTGGAACATTTTTTTCGTTTCCTTAGGTTTCTTAAATTTTATCAGCCTGACGCAAAGAAGGCTTTAAAATCAAACATGAGTAGGTAGTGCATTGTCAACAATAATTTTCACGCGTCATTTGAGAATGAATAAAGACAACCGTCAGTTTTATTACAAGTAAAATATAATAATGGCCCGTGGAAAACATACTGATCCAGATGTTCGAGAAATTATTATTCATTAGTACTATAAAGGGAATACAATGAGTAAAATTTCCAGTGAATTAACTGTAGCAAGAATTACTGTAATTAATATAATTAAGAAATATGGTGAAACTGCCAGTATTGATGTTCGCACAGTCCGTCCAAAAGCTATTTCCCATATCCAAAAGGAGTGTAAGGCATTTTATCAGAATATGTAAGACATGAAGAAGAAATATACTATGAGAAGTAACTAATAGAAGGAATAGAGAAACTGGGATGAATGTTTCCAGAGAATCATGTCGCAAATATATCTACAAAATCGGCCTTTGTTTTTATAAGGTATGTTTAATAGGAAACTCAAACTACGGTCTTCCTTTGGTAGACCAAACGTAATAGCACTAGTACAAACTTTTATATAGCGACGAAAGCAAATTTGATGTGTGATTAGGGAAAAAACAGAAGCATTCCATAATTTTGGTTTGATTGTCTCAAAAGAACTGTAAAGGGTTGGGAACTTTACATTTTATTGAGGCCACAGTAAACGCAGCCAAATATCAAGGTATCCTTGAACATTCGTGTCTATCAAGCGCAGCAAAGTTAAATTCATCCGGAGATTTTATCTTTCAGCAGGACGGAGCCTCATGCCATGCTGCTAAATCTACCAAAATATAAGACGGGATAACATGACATTGAAGTTTTCTCACATCCTCCTAGTAGCCCGGATCTTTACTTTGCCCAATTACGTGCTAAATTGTAAGAAATATTGGATAGGGCACCCATGAATTCTGTGAAGGTCTAGTTTATACAATGTCCAATACAGGCTGTTATCCAGGCTAAGGACGATGTTACGCCTTATTAATTTTTATTTTAATTTGTTAAAAATCTTTGTTGTTCCAATTTTTAGATGTCAACACTTTTTGACTAACAAACAATTAATTAAACAGTAATCAACATAAAATATGTAATTAAACTGTAAAAATAATTCCATAAATAATAAAAAAATGTTGTTAATACCATATTTACAATTAAAAAAAAAAGAATTTCGGTAAATTGGTATTTTATTCGCAAAATATCTGCTTGTTCCAACATATAGTTGTTAGGGCTCGTATTAAAAGAACTGACTGCAAGAATTACTATATTGAGACTAGTAGAGCATAAACACAGAGGAAGAGTTCAAGAGGCATCGAACAAATCAGTCGGAATAGAATAGTCAGAATAGAATACAACGAAAATAAAAAAGGCAATTTGTCTAATTTTATTGGTCACTGCTTAATTTCATAAAAATAATATGAAGATTATCTTTACACACCTTTACCAAGCATTTTTTCTGTATCCTGAGTGACTCTCCATTACAATCATTAGAAATTGTAACAGTAATAAATCAGGAATAAACATAATAATTATTTTATTAAAAAAATTGTTACGATTTAAAGACGATTTAAATTCTCTAATAGAGATGCACCTCTCTCCCAATGCTAACCATAATGTAGCTTTTCCTTTTTTAAAATAAACTGTTTGCCCTTGTGTACAATTTAATGTTTATGACATTCTCCACAAATTGTTGGATAGGCCAAAATTGACTAAATGCCTCTGAAGATGCTCTAGGAAGCGAAAGTACTTGGGCGGCAAGATTTGATTAATAAACTGTGCTCGATATCTTCCTTTTTATTTGATCATAGTTCATTTATTCCAGCATTCAACCTTATATCGAAAAAGTAATTGTTGACATTAGGCAACCAAAATACAAACTTAAAAACGAGTAGTGGAAATTGAAACGTCAATAAACGTACTTTAACCTTTAATTGTGGCTTATTCCCAGTTAAATAGTAATTAATTAAAAACGAGTACTCGAATAACGAATCCTAAGTAACAATTACTTTTGAAAAAGTAACGAATAGTTATTAGTACCTAAAGGTAACTATATTTTACAGCACCAGTATAATAATTTTGTAAAAAATTATATAATAAAACAAATCAGCCTATGTTCTGTAGTGTTAGAAAAGGACTTCGACAGAATTCAAGTATAAGTTGCAATAAAGTACTATACAACAGGCAAGTAACCATTGATTATCATAAAACTGATAAAGAATAGAGAACAAAGATAATAAAAGTTTTGATTTATAAATGAGTGATAAGTGGTACAAAGGAACAACGTGAAGATCAAAATGAAATAGATGTGGATAAGAAATTATGAGGCTGGTGCAAAAGAAAAAATTAATGCACAAATACAAAAATTGTAAAAAATGACAGCACTGCAGCACCTATCATCTCTTCCGATAGACGTCTTTCCCATATATCTAGATCTAATTTTGTTTTATTGTCAACGTTTTCATATATTTTAATAACAAAATTAAATTACATCGAATCTTTTCTTACCTGTCATCAACCTTGTTTTCAAAATGAGACTCCAGTAATGACGTATCTTCCAGTTGTCCCACTCTACACTGACAATTGGAAAATGTCTGTAGTTTCATGATTAAAAATTCATGAGTGTCAACAAATTCCAGCATCCACCTCCATTGGAACCTAAGCCTCTAAAACAATGAAGCTCCCACTAGGAACCAAACAAATGGTTGCATGCTCTTTTCCTCAAATTTCTTCAAAGAATGGAGCCTGCCCTACTCAACCTCGTAGAAACAAGCACTGAAGCAATGGGAGTTTCGCCATGTATCAAATGCAAAATTTAGAACCACAGGTTCCCAAGCAAATGCCTGAATTGGTTCCTAGCACACTACGCTGTCTACAGTATTTGCTGCTTCTCCTTCATGTGGAATATTTTCAAAGTGCAGTACATACCTAGAAATGTTCAAAATATATAATTATTAATAAGGAGGAAGTATTTTACAGACCATGCAACAAAATTAAAGAATATATTTTCACAGCATGAGTTATTAATAGTATCCTGATTTAAAGTAAAGAGAAAAACAATTGCCAAAATCACAATACAGTATCAACTAGGGTTAATAACAAATGTCACATAATTTAGGGCTCTAGAAAATAACTAAAAATAATACATTTACTCATCCTTGAAAAAAATATAAATTCTGAAAAAATAGTGGTGTGCATACTGTGAAAAAAATATCTGGAGGAGTTCTTTCTCACTCTTCTCAACCCTTTAAGTGCCTATTCTAAGAATAAGCTTCTTGTCAATACCTTTCAATCTAGATGTAATAAAGCAATTCTCAATCCAATTTTTTTTCCTAGTAATACTTTCGCTATTGCTACACCGATCTTCTTCTGGGGTCTTATTTTCTCACTTCTTATTTCAGTTGATATAGGAGACCAAGCATCTTGCATGTGTGTTCACCTATCAGAGAATATGAGCTGCATAACCTGGCTTTCTAACGCTGAGTAGATTAGAGTATATAAAAATGTAACAATATACAAAAAAACGTCGACAATTTTTACAAGTCAGCAACTCATAAGTAAAAAAAATTAAGATGTATATTAAGTATGTGTTATGCATTAGACGAAGTTAGAACACATGTGATATCAATGGGTACAGGATCAAAATTAAAATTAGATGTAAAATTGGTATACTATACCACAAATGTAATTTGAAGACCCACCATTTAAGAGATATTCTAACTTGTCCCTTAAATTGGGCTGCTACATCAAGACTTAGGACAGATATTGGGAAACAGTACAAAATTGTAGACTAACAACATTTGGTACATGTTATGGATCTTGTTGAATCCAACGGAGAACTGACAAAAAAGCATCACAAATTTCTAATTTGATAAGTATTTTGTTGTGATTTATTGATGATCTATACTTGGATGAACGATGTTTTTTTAATGAAGAATGCAGAAGTAAAACAATAGAAATGTTCATGAAATTTAATATATTCATAATTGAAGTATATTAAAAAGTTACAGTAACTGTAAATTTGGAGACAAATGGAAAATGCAATAATTTAATAACTAAAACAAAGTAGGCTAAGAATTACTATATGTTTGAGATAGTTCCATTACAAATCCCTTCAAGCACATAGAAACATAAATAAGACATGGAACGAGAACTTATTATTACCTACCTGAAATACTTGGTTTCATTCTTTTCCCATGCAACCT